TGCCTAGGCGAGATAAATCTGCTCCTCACATTCTCTTTTGTTCTGTTGACCCTTGAAACTTTTCATTGTCATGACTGAAATGTTCTTCCTCTGTAGGAATCCTGCACAAACACAACCCAAACATCCCTTTCTCCTTAGCAGCATCAGTTAAGCTAAATAAATCTTGCCTAAGTAAAACTTATCCATCACAAGCTAATATAACCTATATGCAACTAAAAATGCAGTGTATACTTTGTTTAGACGATCAATAACTTAAGTGAAAAGACTAGAAATTAAGTCTTTTTACGGAGTTATCAAACCCTCAAACTTAAGCTATTGCTTGTCCTCAAGCAATAGATAATAGCTAGAAGAAAATTAATATTGTCATGGCAAAGCAGTATCAAGAACATCATCAGGTTTGAGATTTCAGCCCTCAGCAAAAATATTTGGCCTCAACATGTTCAACACTCATATCAGTCAAGTCCATTCCCTAGTCAGGATCCTTTGCTAGTGCGTGTGCGTGATTGTAACCAGTCTATGTATAGAGGTAATTAAAAAACTTAAAGTAAGCACTTATAGGTTGTCAAGGCAACAAATATTCATCAGACTTAGTTTATACTCCTAGTTATTTATCAACTTTTATTCTCTTTATTCACAACTTTTTTTTAGGGGAGTCAGCTCATCACAACTACCATCCCATACTCTAGGTGAAAGAGAGCATACCTTCCACCCCCAAGCTAGTTAGGCAGAGTCATCCTGGGACTACTTTCATTCACTCATATGCCTTGGATACTCTTAATTTCTTTTGGAGTTTTTCTTGTTCATGCCTTTGCACAGAGGAGTGTCCCTTTGTATTTTTTGAGTTTTCAAGTTTTTTAAACACTAGAGAATTTTTACCTTACCCTTAGAATATTATTGAAGTCTCGGCAAATAGAAAGTTCCTTCCTAAAAATTTTATATATTACCTAGAGCAAAGACAACCTACAATCGTGTTTGCAAGTTTGAAAAGATCAAGCCTAGGGTTGGTCCTCTTCTTCAGACAGTCTTTACAATAATTCTGGCCTAGACAATAAAATTTTGCATTCATCATTGGGCATCCCTAATTTATTCCTAACAATAATCCTAACCTGCTTATGTCATGACAACCAAAATTTTTAACCAATTAACATCATTTACTATTTAACAAAGTATGGCAGAATGGTACAACACCTTCCCCCAAACTTGAGGGATGCATTGTCCTCAATGCATAAAAATTACACTAATTGATGCTATATGCAGATGCGATAAAAATAAAAAAATCTAAACTATAAAAAGAAAACTCACTGTAGTGGTGTGGCTTGACTAGACGCCCTCGTGCGGTATTTTTTGGGAGGAGAGGGACTCTCGGATCCTGAGTCGACTGCTATTGGTTGAGAAGGAGAAAGATGAAGTATACAACCCACCATTCTCTTATAGAGATTCTTGTTGGTTGAGGGTCATGCTGGAGTGGACTGCTCAGTCATAGAAGTCGGTTGTGTTGGAACTGGTGGTGGACTAGGAGCTGCTGTCGGTGGTGGAGAAGGATGAGGAACTAAGGAACTCTTCTGTGTCACATTGGCCTTCTTTTGGTATGGGTGAGACATGGGTCGCCAGTGGTGGCACATCAGTGGGTACATCTGGTGAGACGTCTGGAGGGACATAAGATGTCGAGGCATGGAATGTGCTACCACCCGCATTGTAATTAAGGATAACATTGGGGAAGGTTGGCAGTCTGATCATTATGGTCTGGAGCAACTCCTTGATGAAGGCGTTGAGTTGCATGTCTCTTGTCTTGGCATACTCGAAGTAAATTTTCATATGGTCCTCCAGGCGTCCGATCTTTTCACGCGTCTCTCGCATGTATGTAACCACAGCAACCATTCTAGCCGCGATAATCGATTTTGTTCCCCACTCCAGACCTTCATTTGGATCGTCATCATTGAAACTCATCAACTTGGGGACCTTTTTCTTTATAATACCCTCCTTGGGTTTGATGAAGTCTTCGAATGGTTCCTCAGGAACTTTTTTCTTTCTGCATAATGCGGTAATAAGGTTTGAAAATAGTAGGTTATCCCGGTTCTTCTTGGCACATTCATGGATCTGCTCATAGATTATCTAACCCACGTAGATCTTTCTACCGTATATGATCGAGTCTAACAGCATCAACCACTTGAAGAGGACAGTGGTGTTGTGGGACGTTGGCACCAGCTTGCCTTTAAGAAAATAGTTCCACAACTTCACATCCGATTTGAGGGCTCGATGATCTACTCGCATCCTTGTGGGGGGTATTCCCTTCGAACTTGGCCCACCTAAAGCATAAATCCTGTAGAACTCCACTGTACGTTTCTTGATCTGCTTCGGCCACAAATCTCTTGTGTTGGTCATCCACTTTCCCTAACTTAAAGTATTTATTCAGTGCCAAGGGGGAGAATCGAATGAGTTTACCTCGAACATATACTGTGTGGTTAGAGGGATCCTTGAGATGGGCATAGAACTCCCTCACCATTGTTGGTGCTGCGACGTTAGGCTTTCGGGCAAACTTCTCCCAGTTATGCTTATTGATGACGTCCATCACCTCAGGTCCAAATTGCTCCTCGCGTTCGGCTAGAAAGACGAATCCATCTTCAAAATAGACTTGGCGTTGTTGAATGGTTTTGAAGCATGCTTCTACTTTGGCTATTTGGAAATGTTTGAAACTCTGTTTGGGGGCTGGGGCTGGTTTTGATCTCACCATTTTTCTTGGATGATTTTAGTGGTGGCTATGGGGAAGTATTTTTGAGAGAAAGAAATTATTTTTGGTTTGTGAAGAAAATGGGGAAACACGATGAAGAAGAAGAAGAGTGGGTGGTTTTTCTTGAGAAAGTGATGGGTAGTTTGGGGTTAATTTCATACTTGTACGATGGGGAAATGATTTCTCATTAAATGAGAAATATTTGGAGTGACATAAAAAAGGAAGAAAAGATATATTTCACTCTTTATTCTGCCGCCAAAACACATACCCTAGGGCTTCTTTTTTTCCTTCATGCATGCTTCAACTCCCCATGCTGCCATGTGTTCCTTGCTTGCCTACAATATGAAAGAAGAAAATAATAAAATAAAATGGATTAAAGAAGAAAATAACTTAACTTATTTATGTATAGAATTCAGATTTTCGTTGCCTAGGCAACGAATATTTGCTCAATTAAGAAAAGCAAATTCTTGGGCATCTGTGCCAACTATGCCGGTTGATCGCATAGGACTGGGGCTCTTTTATACTCCTTGAGTCTCTGCCCATTCACTTTGAAGATGGAACTATCGTTTTGGTTCTGAATTTCAATTATTCCATTGTCATGGACTTAGTGAACGATGAATGGTCTTGACCATTGTAATTTTAGCTTGCCTGGGAATAACTTAAGGCGTGAAGAGTAGTACTTATTGTCCAGAATAAAATTGCCTTGGTAATATTTTTCTGTCATGCCATCGTTTTGTTTTCTCCTTGTAAAGGCGGGCATTCTCGTATGCATGTGCTCTAAATTCATCCATCTCGTTAAGCTCCAATAGTCTTCTCTCTCCAGCAAGCTGAGCATCCATGTTTATCTTTTTGATGGTCCAATAAGCTTTATGTTCGAGTTTAACCGGTAGATGACATTCCTTTCCATAGACTAGCTTGAATGGGGACATTCCCAACGGTGTCTTGAATGCTGTGCAATAAGCCCATAGTGCTTCATCTAGCTTCGGCGACCAATCGTTTCGACTTGGGTTGACCACTTTTTCAAGGATCTACTTGATTTCTCGGTTAGACACTTCGGCTTATCCATTCGTCTGAGGGTGATAGGCCATAGCGATTCTATGTCGTACTCCATATCTTTTCAATGCCTTGGTAATTAATTTATTATAAAAATGTGTGCCTTCATCGTTAATAAGAGCTCGTGGTGTTCCAAAGCGAGTGAATATATTTTTGAGCAAAAACTTCAACACCGTCTTGGAATCATTCTTAGGTGTTGCAATGGCTTCAACCCATTTTGATACGTAATCCAGTGCCAAAGGAATGTACATATCTCCGAATGATGTAGGAAAAGGTCCCATGAAATCTATTCCCCATACATCGAAAAGTTCAATTTCCAGAATGTTTTTCCATGGCATCTCATGCCGTTTCGATATGTTTCCTGTTCTTTGGCATTTATCACATGACTTGTAGAACTCATGCGCGTCTTTGAACAGGGTTGGCTAATAAAATCCCGGCTGAAGCACTTTTGCTGCTATTCTCATTCCACCAAAATGCCCTCCATATGGTGACGAGTGGCATTGTAGTAGGATATCTTGCTTCTCTTATTCTAGAATGCACCTTCGGATTATTTGGTCTCCACATGGTTTGAATAGAAATGGTTCGACCTAGTAGTAATGTCGCACGTCATGTCGAAATGTCCGTTTGCCTTAGCTAGATAAATCAAGAGGAACAATACCACTAACAAGAAAGTTAACGATGCCAGCATACCACGATGCAGTAGTGACAAATAATATTATCTCATCAGGGAAATCCTCTTTAATTTCTGTGATGTGATAACCAGGTTTGTTATCTAGCCTAGACAAATGATCTGCCACTTAATTTTCTATACATTTTCTATCATTGATCTCTAAATCAAATTCTTGCAGTAATAATATCTACCGAATTAGTCTAGGCTTTGCATCTTTTTTATTAATCAAATATTTAATGGTTGAGTGATCTATGTGCACAATTACCTTAGTGCCTATTAGATATGTCCTAAACTTATCGAATGCAAATACTGCTACTAAGAGCTCTTTTTCAGTGGTGGTATAGTTCACTTGTGCATTATTAATGTCGACACTAACTTTTCATCCCATCTTTTAATACATTATTATTATTATTATTATTATTAATGTTACATATTATATTTTACAGGCCCAAGACCCAGTTACAAATATCAACTCAATTACAAGATGTTGGTTCAAGCCCAAGTGTGACCCGGTTCAGTGACCCGACCTAGTGAATTTAGGATTTGCTAAAATCCTAATCCTAAAGCAAATTGACATTTTCATCCACGCATGCCTCCCACTGCAGTGTCAAGCCAACATAGAGCCATCACCAAATACTTCTAGAAGCTGTCATCATCTGGCCATCTCAGCATATGTGACTGGATCAAAACCAAAGTCAGCAAAAACTTTACAAGTTTACCTAAACCTTTGAAATAAAAAGAAAACCCGAAAATTACGGGATTAAATATACCTGCTTCAGCACTAATTGAAGAAAAAGGTGGATTTGAAACAACCACAAATATAGGGAAATTTTAAATAGGAAAGAAAGGAAGGAGGAATCAAGAATAGAAAAAAATACAGATATTTGACTTCCAGTATTCAATAGTCAATCAGTGTAAACAAAGGGTTTCACTCCCTTCATTTTCGAATCATTAGAAATCAATAGTAGTTAATTGAGGTATATTTTTTGAATTCATTTTCGTCTTTTAGTATACAGTGTGTGTTTATAGTAAAAACACAAATAAAAAACAATACAAAACAGTGTACGTTGGTTCATTTCCTTTAATGAAAAGAACAAAACCCGAATGCTCTTTCCAAATCTTCTATAAAAATCAATCCATGCAAGAGTTTTTATATATATATTCTAGAAATTAAGCAGTACAAGCAATTTAGTATTTTTATTTCTTTTGATTAATGATCTAATACAAAAAGGCAATAGCAATTTTCGAAATCAAAACAAATAGAGAATAGTAAGAGTTGAGTTACCTTGGTCGATCGAGTCCTTTAGTGGTCGGGGTAAGTGTGTCATCCACGTTTGGTGGTCGACCGAGCTTTTATGAATATTGGTTTCCTTGACACTGTTAGAAAGTTTAGGAGAAAGTTTGAGAAAAAGTATAAAATGCAAAAAGGAGATCGTTTACCTTCGGGATTAGCCCTATCATCGCCAAAATAGTCGAACAGTCAGGGTTAAGAAAAGGTTGGTTTCCCTTAGTTGTCGTTCGGAGCTCTGCATGTGAGTTCGTTGGTCACCGGAAATGGGAAAATGGGGGCTGTTTGGTTCACATTTCTTTGGTTTAGTAGGGATTGTTTTGTGGTCTAGGTTTGTTTAGGTTTTGATACTACTATGGAGTGGATTTTTATGGCCAGAGAGAGTTGAACCACCATTCATGGTAGTGGGTAAGGGATTTTCGGCCATTTCGGCCGCATAAAATAAAGAGGGAGAGTAGTAGAATAGAAGAGTGATGACCAGAAAAGATTTATCCGTTTCTGCTGGTTGAAGGTTGTGAGAGATTAGTGGCCATGAGAGGAAGAGCTGCGCATAGGGGTTGTTTACAAGTAAAAATTAGGGCTAAATGTCATTAAAATAATATGTAAATTAAGTCTCTAAAACTACACCGTATGGGTGTTAAGAAAATACCCAGTTCGTGCATGGGTTATCTCTTAGACAAACCATTCGAATTTCATGTTTCATGCGTTTTAGTCCCTAAATTAAATATTTCCTTGTTTTCAATTTTGCATCTTTATTTTATGCATTTTTAATTTCGGTCCCTAATGTTATGTTATTTAATTTTTGTTACTTTAGACATTAAATTCTAAATTTTTTGTATGTTAGTTGTCAGTCCTATGTATAATTAGAGGTTTATTTCAATTTCAGTACATGAAATGTAATATTTGATATTTATGTCTCGATATGTGTCGAATTATAGTTTTAACTTTGATTTTATTTTAATTTATTTTTATTATAATTATTACAAGATGTAAAGTTGATTGATTAAATTTCGTGTAATCAATTATGATTTTATTAAGTTAATAATAATTAATTAGTTTGTTACCTATATATATATTAATTAATATATATAAATTTTGCTTTTCTTTATTTATTAGCTTCATGAATATTATTTTTAAAATCATTAGAATATATGTTTTTAATTAAACTCAAAACTTTATTAGTTTTAACCTTGTTAATGTTATTCTCTTTATTTGTAGTTTGTTTTGATTTGTTTGTATCATTTTATAATTAATAGTGTTGAGTACATATTTTAATTACTTTTAATATTTTTATTCTTTTAATTTAATTCTTGATAGATCATTTTTAGTCCATAACCTCTTAATTATTCGAATCTTAAAATTAATTTAGGATAAAACTAGAGCCTCCATTTTAGCTTAGATTTCAAACTAGTCTTTTAATTTAGGGGATAATTTGAGTTGGCCCTCACGTAAACACTTAAGGAACCATCTCGGTTATTCGATTCATTAATTAATTAAAATCAAATACGATTAATACTAGAACCTAAATTTTAGATTTAAGTCCCTAGGTTCTTTAATTTTCATAATTTGACACTTTAAGTTAAAAAATGCCTTAGTTTACTTTTAGTTTAATTAAGACAAATAAAATTTTAATTGATTGCATTGTTTTTACAAATCTAAGGCACTATTTACTTATTAAGGAATTAGTAGTATATCTCCCGCGATTGTGCTCAGGGGGTGACTACTGGTAATTCCCTGAATAAGTCAACATCCTTTTCAAAACCACATCATGTTTTCTAAAAATAAGGCAATATTCGGTTATTAGGCACAATAGTTGATCTCCCACATTTATGCTCGGGGGAGAATGCTATCGGTCTCGATAAACGAATACCCTTTTTAACTTTGCATCCTTAATGTTTTTTTTAAATTAAATAAAGATCGAACTCCAAATTTCTGATTTTAAATATAGGGTAATCAACTAGGTACCAATTTTTGGGCGCTTATGGGGGTGCTAATCCTTCCCCACGTTTAACCGACTCCCGAACCTGATTTCTGGATTTTCGCAAACCTTAAAACTCGGTATTTTGATAAAAATAAAATATTTTATTAAATTTACCCGGTTTTTACGGTGTTCCAACCGCACCTCAAATGATTGGTGGTGACTCCTCACATTTCAAAAATATTTTCAAAGAGAAAACCTCGAGTTGGTATTGGTCTTCCTCCTCCGGGCGAAAAAAGGTTACAACAATTAAGAGTTCGGCTTGCATAATAGATAACATGAAGAATTTTATTTTTTCGTTGCCCTAGCACTGCTCCGACTGCATAGTCACTAGCGTTGCACATCAGCTCAAATGGTTCGTTCCAGTCTGGTGGGATAACAATTGGCGATGCTGAAAGCTTATTCTTCAAATCTGTGAAGATATTCAAACACTCATTAGTAAACTCAAATGGATGATTTTATTGATGTAAAATATATAAGGGTTTAGATATTTGAGAAAAGTCTTTTATGAACCGCCTGTAGAATCCTGCATGTCCAAGGAAATTGTGTACACCTCGCACATTAGTTGGTGGGGGAAGATTTGCAATTGTATACACCTTGGCTTTGTCGACTTCGATGCCATGGCATGAAATTTTGTGACCCAACACTATTCTTTTAGTTACCATAAAATGGCATTTTCCCAATTTAGTACTAGGTTGGCTTCTTCACATCGTTTCAACACCTTGGATAAATTACTGAGGCATCGGTCAAAGTCATCACCAGAAATAGAGAAGTCGTCCATAAATATTTCCATGAATTCTTCTACCATATCTGAAAAGATTACCATCATGCATTGTTGGAATGTAGCTGGAGCATTACACAGTCCAAATGACATTCGCCTAAATGCATAGGTACCATACGGGCACGTGACCGTTGTTTTCTCTTGGTCTTCGGGTGCTATGGCAATTTGGTTATACCCCGAGTATCCATCGAGGAAGCAATAAAATGCCTTTCCCGCTGATCTATCCAATATTTGATCGATAAAAGGGAGGGGGAAATGATCATTCTTTGTGGCTTTGTTGAGCTTCCTATAATCCATGCATATGTGCCAGCCTGTGATTATTCTTGTGGTGAGTAACTTATCATGCTTGCTTTTAACCACAGTTACACCACCTTTCTTTGCCACGCATTGTACTGGGCTAACCCATGAACTATCGGATATATGATAAATCACTCCCGCATCCAACCATTTTATTATTTCTTTCATGACTACCTTTTTCATGATCGGGTTGAGCTGTCTTTGGGGTTCTACCGAGGTGTTATGGCTATCTTCGAGATTAATTTTGTGCATGCATATGGTTGGACTGATTCCTTTCAAGTCTACCAGCATCCATCCTATAGCTTTCCTGTGCTGTGACAAAATATTCAATAAACTCTTCTCCTGTTCAGAGGTTAGGTTGGCAGAAATTATCACTGGTAAGTTTTTATTAACTCCTAGATAAACATGTTTCAAATGTGATGGCAAAGTCTTAAGTTCCAATTTCGGTGCATATGACTCATGAGATTTAACTTCATCATAATCTAAAAGGTTGAATTTAATACCTGACCTATTAAGAAATCTTAATTGGTCCTTTGTCTTTCCTTCGCATCTTGCCTTGGTATCGTTTTCAGGGTGTTCACTGTGTAGATTTTCGTTGTCGTGGCCATGATTGTCAGAACTGTCTTATGAAAATAGTTCGTTTCGGCCAAGGTTTTCTGCTTCAAGCATTTTGGTCGTAGGCTCATGGTACAAAGTACTATATTCATTGAGCCTTAGGGATTCACCTCGTCCAAGGATTGCCTTTTCTTCAATCTTAATGATGCATTGGCATTTCTCTGGATTGTCCACATATTTCATGGAGTTGAATACATTGGTTGTGACGCTTTGCTCACCAACTCTCATGGTGAATTCTCCCTTTTCACAGTCTATTAGGATTCTCCCTGTTGCTAAGAATGGACGTCCCATAATGATTGGTGTGTTTTCATCTCCTTCGCAATCCAAAATGAGAAAATCCATTGGAAATACGAATTTATCTACCTTTACTACAACGTCTTCAATTCTGCCCCCGGGTCGCACATAAGATCGATCGGCCAGCTGTAGAATGACCGAGGTGGGATGGGCGTGATACCCATCTAGTTTCATGAATATAAACATTGGTATCAAGTTCACACTTGATCCCAAATTAATAAGAGCTCGTCATATGAAGTCATTACCAATGGAACATGGTATTACAAAGCTACCAGGATCTCTTTGCTTTAGTGGGAGTTTGCTCACTGCCGAGCAGATTTCTATTACCGTGGCGACACGTTCTACCTTACTTTTCTTTGTAACAATTTCTTTCAAAAACTTGGCATATGAAGGCATCTGCTCTATGGCTTCAAGTAGGGGCACATTGATACACAACTGATCCAGAACATCAACAAATTTCTTGACCTGGATGTCATCATCATGCTTCTTTAACCGTTGAGGGAACGGTGGTGGAGGTCTCGCATCGACTGCTGTTGGTGCAGAGAAATCGCTGGCCTTGACCATGAATTTCTTGTTATCCAATTGAAGCTTTTTAAGCCTTCACTTCTTTCCTTCTCCTCAGGTACTTCCTCTCGTTCAATGTTCTCAGATTGATCATCCGGTTGTGTTGTGCCTTGGCAAGAATTGTTCAGGTGTTCTCCCCCAAACTTGTCATCTTGGTCAACTTGTTTTCCACTCCTTAGCGTAAGTACACTGCATTGTTCATTCCCATGATGCTTAGTGACTTCAGTATCATTAGGGAGATTTCCGTGTGGGCGAGAATGTAATGCCGTGGTAATCTATCCCACTTGATTCTCCAATGCTCTGAGAGTTGAACTATGCTTTGCAAAAGTGTTGCTTGGCTTTCTAACAAATTTCCTTGATATTTGATTGTTGCAGAATGGTCGTGCATCAAGGTCTTTGTAGATGCCATGAAATCTTTTGTCGATGCCATGTATTCCTGTAAGGATAGTTCCAAGTAGTTAGTATTAGAATGAGTGTTAGAGGAAGAAGCTATACCTTTATTATTCTGCCAGGGCTGCTGATGATGCTGATTTTGAATATGCTGATGGTCAGAATTATTTTGTTGTGGCCTGTAATTTGTGGCTTGATTGTTACCGCTTCCTTGATTATTCCATGAGAAATTTGGCTATTGTCTCCAACCAGGATTGTACGTGTTCGAATAGGGATTGTTGTTGTTCTGATTATAGTTGCCCACAAAATTGGTTGACTCATGGTTTTCAGGACATTCACTCTCGTGATGGTTTCCATGACAGAATAAGAACACATTATTGGTCGCCTTGACTTCCCTTACCTCATTTAGACGTTGTAAAGTTTTCAACATATTGGTTATGGCAGAAAGTTGGGATGCTACCGAATCCTTTCTCTCTAGTTCTTATGGTCCAGGATTTTTTCTGCCGGTTCCCAATCTTGCACTTGGGAATTGATAGCCATTATTTTCTATCCTGTCGAGAATGTCAAAAGCTTCCTCGGGTGATTTGTCTAATAGGGTGCCATTTGTTGAGGCA